CCTTTGTAATTGTTTTGTTTGGTTTAAAGATTTCCTTCTAAACCATACATGTGTTATGTTTCTGTTTAAAGCTATATATGTAAACAAATTGATTCACATATAACAAATATGTTTTTTTTTTAAACTATAAAATATGTTGAACAAAACAGAAAATTAAAAGTAGAAGAAACTTTAAATAACTGGATTATGGGAAGCAGTTGATCCGTACGAGTTCTTGTCAGCAATCTAATTGAGAAATAAAAGGATATTACTATCCTTAATTGTACATATTGACTTACACGATATGCAGGTTCTTGTGTGGTAGAATTGTTCTCCTTTTTTTTGGTAACTTCAAAGAATAAATACTGATTTGATTAAAATGATTTTTAGTGTGAAGTAGTACCTAGATCGGTTGCAAAAAATATTGATTCAATTCGAGCATTTGTTGATGCAAGTTTCTTTTTGTCATTGGCAGATACAAATAGTTAAAACCCCTATTTTGTTTGAAAAAATGAGAAGTATAAATCAATGATTATGGTGGATTAGTATGGAAAAACATGGTTTCTTCTTTCATACTATTTGATAAAATCATTGGTTTCATAGTTTATTTGGCCCAAAATGCTTTATACTTTTTAGCCAAGCCCAGGCCATTAAACTCTCTATCCAAAGAGCCCTAAAAATAGTACAATTGGGCTAATAATGTTATCTTTACAGAAAACTAAACCAAGAGTAAACCAAACCGTTATATACACTAGCCAGTGGTTTATCTCGGTTAAGAGATACATGTGAAGATGCGTGTAAGGAGAAGGTGGTTGCGTGAAGTAGAGGAAAAAGGCAGCGCAAACAAATTCCACATGGCAAAGTCATGGCTGACCAAAATATCATAATACTTTGCTTCTTACGCAAATCGCAATTCCATTATTTGTTTGTTATTCCGGGACCACCTCTTCGTCTTTGTTTTTATATACTCTTAAACCGAAACTAACCAATTGATACCCTAATAAAATATCTCAAATGCCTTCTATATAATAAAGCCAATATACATATCCCTAACCAAATTCAACTATCAAATATGATCTTCTTTCGACCGTCGACATAAAAATCCACGTCATTGTATACGAACATATCGTATGCACATTGTGACGCTCGTGCCATAGAATGTAACAGGTTTTGACTCTGTTGAACAAAACCGTAAAATGTTAGGTACATAAAATTCCTGAATTGATTGTATACGTACGGCTACAATTCGATCTTGAAGCTGAAGACTTAACCGTGACCGTTGGATTTTTAGGCTAAACACGTGATCCCCACAAGTCATGAGGAGTTGAAGCTGGGGTGTGGACACGTGAGACGAGCGTGACATATCCATTTTCTTTCTTACAAGTTACATGGCCGCCAATTCAGACGCGTGCCATGTTCAGCTTTGCCGACTTGTCGCCACGTGTCGACTTTGTCTTGCTGTGATACGCGTCCTTATCGAAACTCCTTGTGATACTAATCTTCTAGAGCATTAGAAAGAATCAAAATGTTTAAAATTAAAAAGAAAAAGAAAAACTATTTTAAATTTGGTTTTAATTCGTTATAGGAATCACTTCATGCATTGAAAATGTCACTGTTGCCCTTGCCTAATAACCATCCATCTTTTCCGTTTCAGTGTGTTAGTTTTGTATTACAACAAGTTGAGTGAGAGAAGAAAATGCGCCTAAAACTTCTATATAAGGGAAATAATACGTCACTACAGTTTGATATTTTTAATTAGAATGAATAAGCAAATTAATAAGCCATGACTTACGTTATGAGAAAGACATTTGCCACAATAGTTTGTGATAATGTAATGTATATTATTTGTATCAAACATTTTTCGGTTAACAACTCCGGCGGCTTTTGTAACGCCGCAATTG